CGATGGTGACTACCGCCTAGGACATTGCCTTGTAAAAGTAATCGATGGAATACACTGCAAGTAGTCGGCCGGTAATTGACGGTGTTTATTAGGTAGCTACCGATTCAGCAGTCCTGTAGTCACTCCCCCGTACTGCAGAGATGTAACTGGGTGACTACCTACATACATATGTGCACTATTTTGCTTTATTACTCAATTGTTAAGTTTAAAAGTTGGTCTAATTGCTCAACGAGAAATGAAATAAAGCAAATTTGTGTTATTTCACATTCAATTGGGAAATAACACAAATTTGCGTTATTGCCATTTGTGTTATTTCACTCCTCCGTTGGGCATGCGGTTCATACTAGTTGTGAGGTAGTTTTCAAGTAGAACATTTGACTGCAGGGTGTTTATTTATACTACTATCGTCCCGTTGTCGAAATTCGACATTATTTCATACACTTTTAAATTTTGCTTATCACCAATATTGACTCCTTTACACTAAAGACGATTTTGAAATCCACCACCAAAATTTATAGCGAATTTATTTAGTAGTTTTCGAAATTGTACCGAGAAAGGAACCTCAATTCTCATTTACAAAAAATATGCATATGTATGTATAAATGAGATGCTTAATGGTTCCTCAATGACTATTATGTTTAACAAATACCAATCCAGACTGTAAATACTCTTTTTTGATTATATTAGTCTGAGAGCCCCTTGGAATGTTAAAACTAAATTGCCAACATCTGCATAAACTCCTCATTCTTTTCATTAAAATCGGTGGATGCTTAGTACCTCGAAGATGTAAAACAAAATATAATATTTCCTTCTCTAACGGCGATTTTACATGTGTTTCTGTCAAGATTGGCATCACATGATTAGGCTACCGAATTGCACCAAATTTTATGTTGCAATTATGTGTTCTAAATATGAAGCAAATCTGACAATACATTTTAAGGATAGCTCTCAATTAGAGAGGGACACGGAATATCGGGACTCACGATACTGATTCAAGATGGGCGGTATCGGAAAGGTCTGTAAAAATTTAACGGACGGAACGGGATCAAAATCCTTTCCCGATACTCCCGATAAAAGCGCAATCCAGAAAATCTTCCTTAAAAATTTGTATAAAATATGCACTTTTTATATTTTATTGAGACGAAAACGAACAGAAAAGCAAACCAAAATAATTGGAGGATGCCAGATCTTTAATATTTTTTATTTTTTTATTTAAAATTAATTTGAAAGACAAGCGAACTTTTTTAAAGATATATTTTGTGGCCCACGGGCCCGCGGTAAAATTCTGAAAAACGTTGATATGAGCGGGTTCGGAAGTTAAAAATTGAATTTCGTGGTGGACGCGATGGGGGCTTAATATTTAGTCTCATGCCCATCTCTACTCTCAATCCCTGCGCCACCCACCTAACGCAAGGCAAACACACTGATCCTTTCAAAAATCATTACACAAAATAACAATCATTAAATGCGATTTAGAAATCTGGAAATGGTTCCCAATTGAATAATTCTTACCATTTTAAATGTATATAGATGTAGGTGTATCAAATTCCATTACCTTGTCTATCATAAGTTGTTTCAGATATAAGCGATATGGAAATTGCATTATGTATACGAGGTGCCTAATCCCCCTTTCGAA